CGGACTGTGCTCGGGCTGTCCGCTGTAAGCGTGCAGCCTGGAAGAAGCACCGCCGTAGGCAGACGACCGATTCTTTTCTTTTCTTTCGGAAAGCGAGTGCGGTGGCCCGTAGGGCCATCCGTACGGCTAAACGTGAATGTTGGGCTTCTTATGTCTCGACAATTACGTCCGAAACCCCTCTGGCCCAGATCTGGAAGCGTATCCGCAAGATAGCGGGTAAGTTCGTTCCCGATGTTTCACCGGTCCTTCACCTCCATGATACTCTTGTGGCGGACCCGTTGCAGGTCGCTTCCGAACTGGGTTCCCACTTTTCTTCTGTTAGCTCTGGCCTTCATCTTCCCCAATCTTTCCTTCTTCGTAAACCTGTCCTTGAGTCTCGTCCTTTAGATTTCTGCACTCATCTTCAGCTTCCCTATAATGATCCCTTCTCTCTCTCTGAACTTCGTTCTGCCCTGGCCCTCTGCGGTTCTACGGCGGCGGGCTCCGATGGTATTCATTATGAGATGCTTCGCCATCTCCCTCCGAGCACGTCTCAGTATTTACTGAGTCTGTATAATCGGATCTGGGAGTCGTCGTCAGTCCCTGAGGACTGGCTCGATGCCGTTGTCCTCCCTGTTCGCAAACCAGGGTCTCTGGGTACTTCCCCTAAGGACTTTCGCCCTATTGCTCTCACAAGTTGTGTCTGCAAACTCTTTGAACGTATGGTTAACGTTCGTCTGATGTGGTTCCTGGAACACCATCACCTCCTCTCCCCTTCTCAATTTGGTTTCCGCAAGTGCCGCAGCACGACAGATGTCCTGGTGAACTTGGAGGTCTATATACGTACTGCTTTTGCTGCGAAGACCTCCGTTGTTGCCGTCCTTTTTGACCTAGAAAAGGCTTACGACACCACTTGGCGTTATCATATCCTATCTCAACTTCATTCTTTTGGCCTTCGTGGTCATCTCCCTCTCTTTCTCCGCAGCTTCCTCTCTCGTCGTTCCTTTCGGGTGCGCCTTGGTACCGCTCTCTCTCCCCCTTTTCAGCAATACGAAGGTGTGCCCCAGGGTAGTGTTCTGAGCACTACTCTTTTTCTGGTCCCTCAATGGTCTTCTTTCCTCTCTTCCTTCTGGTGTCTTCTCCGCTCTCTATGTCGATGATCTTACCCTTTGTTGTCAGGGTGATGATTCGCCTCTCCTTCAACGCCGGCTTCAACTTGCGATTGATGCCGTGTCGTCTTGGGCCACAGGTCATGGCTTCAAGTTCTCTACTTCTAAGACTTGTGCCATGACTTTTACGCGGAAACGGGTTGTTCTTCGTCCCTCTTTGTCACTTTATGGTCATCCCCTTGAATACAAAGATTCCGCGAAGCTTTTGGGGTTATTCCTTGACACTCGTTTGTCTTGGTCTCCCCATATCTCTTACCTCCGTGTTGAGTGCTCTAAGTCCCTTACCCTCCTTCGGGTCTTGTCCCATACTTCTTGGGGGGCAGATAGGCGCACTCTCCTTGCTTTACATTCCTCTCTCGTCCTGTCTAAGCTCGATTATGGTTGCCCTGCTTACTCGTCTGCTTCTCCTTCTACTCTTCGCCGTCTTGATGCTTTGCACCATACTGGGTTGCGCCTCAGTTCTGGTGCCTTTCGTTCGACTCCCGTCCTTAGCTTGTATGTTGACACTGGCTTCCTGTCTCTCCAGGACCGCCGTGATCGCTACTGTCTTCGGTATCTTGCGCGGTCCTTGCAACATCCTTCCTCTCGTCTCTGTCGTGCTTTAACTTTTACCCCTCCTGCGGTTCCTGTTCCTCTTCACCACCTCCCTCTTTCTGTCCGGTTATCTCGCCTGCAGGATTCTCTTTCCGTTCGTATTTCTGATGTTTCTCCTCGTGTTGTTCCTTCTTTGCCCCCGTGGAGGGTCCCTCTTCCGCGGTTTTGTACATCCTTGACTCGCATCACTAAAGCTTTTACCCCTCCTACAGTTCTCAAACGCCTTTTCCTCGAGCACTTTTCTTCTCACTCCCGCTCCGTTTCTGTCTTCACCGATGGGTCTAAGTCAGCGGACGGTGTTGGCTACTCTGTTGTTTTTCCTGATCGCACTTATATGTGTCGCTTGCCTCCGGAGACTAGCATCTTTACAGCGGAACTTTATGCTATTCTCTATGCTCTTCGTCTCCTACTTTCTCGTTGTCAGTCTTCCTTTGTAGTTGTTGTTGACTCTCGTAGTGCCCTCATGGCTCTCGGGTCCTTTAATCCAGTTCATCCAGTGGTTGTCGAGGTCCAGCATTGGCTGTTTCTCGTTCATAGTAAATTTAAGTCGGTTGAGTTTTGTTGGGTTCCCAGCCATATTGGTGTGTCTTTAAATGAGCGTGCGGATGCTGCCGCCAAGGAAGCTGTCCGCTCTTGTCCCATCTCTCGTAAGGGCATTCCGTATTCCGACTTTTACCCGGTTATCCATTCCTCAGTCCTTACCCGTTGGCAGGCTTCTTGGTTGTCTGTTACTGGTAACAAGCTACGTACTCTTAAATGTTGTGTTTCCTCGTGGCAGTCCTCCTTCCACCGTAACCGGCGGTGGGAAACAGCTCTGGCGAGGTTGCGTATTGGCCATACTCGCTTAACCCATGGTCACTTGATGGAGCGCCGCCCTGCTCCTTATTGTCCTAGTTGCATTGTCCCTCTTACGGTCGTGCATGTCCTTCTTGAATGTCCTGACTTCCAGGACGAGCGTATGTCTTGCTTTCCGACCGCCCCTCGCGGTCACCTGTCCCTCGATAGAATTCTTGGTGACTCGGATACTTTTGATATCGTTCGCCTTATGCGTTTTTGTTCTCGTATTGGCATCCTTGGTGATATTTAGCGCCCTCTGATTATTTTGCGTATTTGATGGTGCTACATAGCCTTCCCGGTTTGGTGCCTTCTTTTGATAATTACTTACTTCAACTTGCTATTGATGCCGTGTCGTCCTGGGCCACCAATCATGGCTTCAAATTCTCTATATCTAAAACTTGTTATAACTCTAACTCAGAAGCAGTTTTTATTATTATTTTCTACCACAGACGTGGCCACACATTAAAAATGCTAACCAGCATATATACATTTTCTTCTGTCCTCCATGGACAGGGTTAGAGATTTGTTAAACATATAGTTCAGGGGTTTATCGAACAATCAACCACAGAAGGTGATTGTAGAGCTTTTAAAATGCTAGGCTATCGTCTTAAGATGATTTCGGGGCTTTAGTGTCCCCGCGGCCCGGTCCTCGACCAGGCCTCCACCCCCAGGAAGCAGCCCGTGACAGCTGACTAACACCCAGGTACCTATTTTACTGCTAGTTAAATACATCCCATTTCCATAACTTTACATTTGCTCGTATTGAACTCCAGTAGCCATTTCTCTGACCATCTCTGCAACCTGTTCAGGTCCTCTTGGAGGATCCTGCAATCCTCATCCGTCACAACTCTTCTCATCAACTTTGCGTCATCCGCGAACATCGACATGTAGGACTCTACTCCTGTATACATGTCGTTAATATATACTAGAAATAGCATTGGTCTCAGCACCGATCCTTGAGGTACTCCACTCATTACTGTTAGCCAGTCCGACTTCTCGCACCTTACCGTATCTCTTTGGCTCCTTCCTGTTAGGTAGTTCCTTATCCATGCTGGGGCCTTTCCTCCCACCCCCACCTGCCTCTCGAGTTTGAACAGCAGTCTCATGTGCAGTACTGTATCAAAGGCTTTTTGGCAGTCCAGAAATATGCAGTCTGCCCAACCTTCTCTGTCCTGTCTTATCCTCGTTATTTTATCATAGAATTCCAGAAGGTTTGTTAGGCACGATTTCCCTTTCCAGAACCCATGTTGATGTTTGTTCACAAACCTAACGTTCTCCAGGTGTGCAACCGGTCGTAGACTAAATATTCTTTCAAGTATTTCACAGGGGATGCTTGTCAATGATACAGATCTTTAGTTAAGTGCCTCCTCCCTACTGCCTTTCTTGAAAATTGGTACATTTACCCTCTTCCAGCAACTGGGCAATTCTCCCGACAAGTGATTCATTAAAGATCCTTGCCAGAGGCACGCTGAGGGCCTGCACTGCCTCTTTTAGTATCCACGGTGATACTTTTTATGGCACATTAATGACACTTTGTAAATGCACATTAATGGCACTATGTAAAAGACACATTGAACACTATGTAGGGGATGGAACACTTAATGGGGATACGTAAATCTGTGTATCTATGTATTTACGTATGTAGGTTAGCTTAACATTTTAAAAGCACCGAATCACCTTCTGTAGTCGATTGTTCAATAAATCCCTGAACTATATGTTTAACAAATAAGGTAAGGAAGCTATCGGCAGCTGTTCCATCTCCCATAAAGGTATTCCGTATTCCGACTCCCACTCAGTTCTTAATTCCTCCATCCTTGCCCGTTGGTCTTCTGTTACTGGTAAACTGTGCTGTTAAGGGTAGCGTGTCCCCATGGCCTTCCTCCTACCACCGTAACCGGCGGTGAGAAACGGCTCTAGCAAGGTCATGTATTGGGCATACACGCTTAACTCACGGACACTTAATGGAGTGCCTCCCTGCGCCTTATTGTCTAAACAGCATTGTTCCTTACAGTCGTGCATATCCTTGTTGAATGTCCTGGCTTCCAGGATGTGCTTCCTGACCGTCCCTCGCGGTCACTTGTCCCTCGATAGAATCCTAGGTGAATCTGATACCTTTGATATCGTTTGCCTTATGCGCTTTTGTTCTCGTAATGGCATCCTTAACGATATTTAGCGCCTTTTTAATATCCCGCACATTTGATGGTGCTACACAGTATCCCCGGCTTGGTGCCTTCTTTTGATAATTTTTTTTGTCTCATTAATGACGATACTAGACGCCTCATGATCTATGTACACAAGATCGATTTTTAGCTGCTCAATTCCTTTGCCACGGTGAATCGAGCAAGTGAAATAGGAAATATACATGATCATGGCGATAACCACTACAGGACAAACTTGAAAATGGGGTTACGAGATTCCAGCAATTCTTCGACATTTTATTTTATTAGCGATATTAATACTACATGAAAAATGTAGAAAAGTTTAATACAGTAATACTGAATTTGGTGAGGATACCGTTCATTTAATTTTAACATTTTACAAAATTTTGGTGTAATATCTGAAGAGTTTCAGATGGAAATAAATACAAACCTAGCGAAACTTGAAAACATTATCACAGTATTAAAAAAATTGTTTTAAAAATTAAATTTTGTGCTCTTTTCACATATGTTTGAGTAAACCAATATTTAGATGAACAAAAGATTACATCCTGTACATTTTTAATAGCAAAAAATTAATTCTGCCATATTGCCATTTAATATTTAAAGCAATATAGTCAATATTTAATATTGCATAAGAATTTCATAATTTCACTGAATTTCTATTACCGTGATCAGTACTTTGTACTTGCATGTTCGCCACTATGAAGCAGCAATCATGCCTGGGCAACAGTTGTGTCCATACCAGCCTCGCTGCACAACATGGAAGCACAGAGATGAACTGTGCAACTTGGCTGTTCATTGACACAACTGAACCATATTTCATAATTTTACAGTATCAAAACAAGTCTATTCATTATTGATGATCTTAAAGCTAAAAACAAAACATTGATAAAATAAGAGTATCAAAATATTTAAATTACATTTGCTCCAGTTAAAAAAACTTGCAAAAGTGAAAAAACGATCGTTCTTAAGAGGAATTCTGTCTATAGAACAGTAATTTTGACAGCACAGTAATGTAATCGGCCACATGCGTGGTAACTGATACAGTTTACTTTATAATGCACTAAAAACTTGGGATGGTTTCGAGCCTTAGCCAGCTGGAGCTTGCCAGTGCCCAAATCCTCTTTGAAAAATACTTTGAAGATAATGAAATAAAAATGGAAATGTATAATTAAGTAGATAATCTTCAGTGAGGATATCAATGAGGAACTCATTTACATAATTAAACAAATATCCAATCACAATACTTAACCAACTTTCAGGCACTACACTACACACATTTATCAAAACGTTCACACAACATTCACATTTTTTAGTCTGAAGAATTTTTTTTTAATCCCCAAGACGAACTTTTTTGGCATTTCATTAATTTTTTCCTTGTGTACTGACACTGCCAACACAAATGTTCAGTCCATCATCCTCAATTTTGTTTTTATTTTAAAATTAAAGACAATTGTTAGATGTGGTCTATTTTTAAATTAAAACAAACCAAACACAATGATAGATCAACAAATGTTTGTAAAATTGTAAAAAAATTGCAGTAAAAATTGGTCTAAAACACTGCCAAGCTCCTTTCAGCAACTCCCCCTGCATATAACAATTTCTAAATGATTACATCCACTAAGAGGAATAAAGGATGAAAACAAGAGGACTGGAGGATACTGGCAGTCATGACGTGGATGGAATGGCACATACCCACGGGGTTATATGGTACCCTGGGAAGAGGAAAAGGGAAGGCTCTGCCCAGTGACTAGCTGTGCTGGGCCTATCCATTCACACTAAACTATGTACACTGTACACTTGGCCATGGCACACAGTCACCTAAGCGCGACACTGTTATTTTCGATCACGGTATCGTCCCCTGGGTTCTGAAGATGTACGTAGACCATATTGAACTACCGAGCCATTTTGGTGCGCACTCCTCTCTCGAGAGCTGGAGTGGCGGGGCTGTTCTTGGTCAAGTGCACGAGAAGAGCCTTGTTGAGCAGGCGAATAATCGGCAGATGAACGTTGCACATTATAACTTTGACGTGGATCTTCCCACTCACCATATCTATCAACACGACGTTCCTGTGCTCGCCGTTCTTCAGCTTCCATGTCATCGCTAATGTAACCGTTATTACTGTACACTTCTCGAATAGGAAGTCCGTGACGTCCTACAGCACTAGTAACAATATCTGAACCTCCGCGCCGTGTTGTAACTCCCTTACTCAGGCTTGATTCACTTGACTCTTCACCTGAAGTTCCAAGACCTAAGTCTTTTTCTAGACTATTGCCATCCTCTTTACTGGATGCTAACATGGAATTAGCGCCTTTAGTAAGATACGATGCCGAGCGGGCCAATACAACGGGTGCCACTTGTGAAGCTACTGCACCATTGTGTGCGGAAGTTAAACTATGTGGCCGTGGAATCTTTAGACTGTTGGCATCGATGTGTCCTGCAGGAGAAATTTCTTGGCCATGAACGAAGAATGGGTGGCCATGAGTCTTAGATGGAGGTGGACTCTCTCTCTCTTTCTTTTTACTGCAAGACCCGGGACCAAGGAGCGAAAGAAGAACTGGCAAAAGTAAGATTCCATGCAAAGCTCCAAAAAAGATTACAAGAAACACAGTCTTGAAGAAAGTGATGAATATATAGGAAGGAGCTAAAATTAGTGCCGTAATGCCTAAAATAGTGGAGAGGCCACCTTGTATTATGGGCACACCAAGAGCATACAGGCACTCCTGCACCCGCTCGTCTGGGGTGTCCACTTTAGCTGCCAAATAGGCATATGATATGTGAGCCGAGAAGTCAACACTAAAACCAATACACATGATTAGATTTATCATCGAAATAGAATCTAGATTAACTCCCCACAACGTCATATAACCCACAACACCTATTTCTATCGAGACAATAGAGAAGGCGACCCAGAGAGAACACAAAGGGTTTGGTATAAATATGAGGGAGACTATCATCATGATGCCGGCAGCCAGACAGATGGCTTGTATGCTCGTCGTCCTCACCAACACGTACTGTAAACAAGAAAAATGTTTAGTTCACGCTGTTACTTGTGTAAAGGAGGAAATGTATATGTTTATCTCTCAATGTTTGGTAATGTTTATTGTTTGTGATGTGTGTCTATGTATTAACACGATGTACTGAACGGGGTGAGAATAGCTTGAGCTACCTCATCCCTTTGTGTGCATTTTACCTCAATAAACTCATTTCAATTTCAATTTAGTTCGAGACCTGGTCGACGACCGGACCGCGGGGTCGCTAAGCCCCGAAATCACCTCACCTCAAGGTAACGATATAGACACATGATACCGACTATTCATGTAATTCATTTTTACTAGCAAATGTAAACAAACGCCGTTGCACTAACCTGATCAAAATAGATGAAAAATGGATTGAAGACTGTAACGTTGAATTTTGAATCCGCAGCGACTTTACGGAATGCTTCCATCATGTCCTTGTCGGCGTTGGCATCCAGTATCTTATAAGTCTGGACAATGAACCTGGACGCTAAAATGCGAGTATTGTTTTCATTAAATCTGACGTCCTGAGCGAATGGATTGGCTGGGCCTGATAGGTACAGCTGTAAACAAAACAAAAAATTATTAGGACAATATTTACGTCTGAGGAATGTTTATAAAAGTCAAATAAAACAAGTCATCTGCACAGTACTACAGTAGTATAAAAGTAACAGTATAAACATCTTCAATTTTATACTCTTCTTAAATCCAATATATAAATTATGAAAGCTTTGTTATTGTTGATAAATGATAATATTTATATTGCGAGCACATTTGTTCATTTTATACTGTGACTCTTGTCAGTCTCCAACCAGTTGAGGTGGACGGTAGAGCGACGGTCTCGCTTCATGCAGGTCGGTGTTCAAACCCTGATCGTCCACAAGTGGTTAGGCACCATTCCTTCCCGCCGTCCCATCCCAAATCCTTATCCTAACCCCTTCCCAGTGCTATATAGTCGTAATGGCTTGGCGCTTTTCCCTGACAATTCCCTGCCTCGTGTCAGACCCACCTACACGTGTCCGTACAGTCTCCTTCAGTACTCTACAGTCTCTCTCTCTCTCCTTCCATCTACCATCTCCCTCAATGTTATGTTTACTTGGGGTAATTTTCATGTCGATTCAAGTTTGAAACCAATGCACTGATCCAGGGGTCAGATTCACGAAAGCACTTACGCAAACACTTACGAATCTGTTCATCTTTTCTCAATCTTTAGCGGCTTTGTTTCCAATTATTAAACAGTTAATGAGCTCCGAAGCACCAGGAGGCTGTTCATAACAATAACAACAATTGAATGGGAAGTTTTCATGCTTGTAAACTGTTTAATAAATGTGACGAAAGCCGTCAAAGATTGAGGAAAGATGTACACTTTCGTAAGTGCTTGCGTAAGTGCTTTCGTGAATCTAGCCCCCGTTGTTTAAGGTTTAACTACACCCAGCAAGGTCTGGGTGCCAGGTACACCACCCTGATCATTCTGAAGCACTAATATTATCCCATACAAGTTTCTACACTGTCACAAATGCCAGTCTTACTATACTGTAACGTTATCTGCTCTCGTTATCATTACTATCATGGATCTTGAGAAGTGCTGCCTCGTTCCTAACAACATTGCTCACATATATGCCTGTGGATGCCGTTCAGTTTTCATTTACAATTCTCATTCCCCAGCATCTCTCTAATCAGGTAACATTCAGGCAATTTGGAGAGATTCGATCACTTTCATCCGGCAGACTTCCCGTAGCAGCAGGTATAGTCCAAGGATCTGGTTTTCCATGCTTTATTCTCTCCCTGTTATTGTGGCTGTCCTTTAGTGTCACATTTATAGCAGCCGTCGTCTTAGTTTTGGCATCAGGGAGCTACGTGGGTAAGCTGCATGTTCCGTGCCAGGTAGTGTTTGAGCCCAGGGGGACCTTGTTTGAGCCTGGGGGGACCTTGTTTGAGCCCGGGGATCAGTATTTTAGTTGGTGCCTCCACTCTTAATCTTGGCTAAGAACGAGTTTGAGAGATTCTGTAGGGACCCTATTCTAGCCAAGGTGTGCTCTGTCCCCCTCTACACCTTGTGGACAGGCCATTCACTGCTATCTGAATGTACCCGATGGTCACACTCGCTAGCCGTGTCTATGAGGTCATACTGGCAGTTATGCCTTTGGCGGGTAGGCAGTTCCATGGGTTTATAACCCTGAAATGTTATTTACAGGCTATTTTGGAGTTTTCAGTTCTTGAGCCCATTTGTTAACCCTCACACCCAAACACCATGTACGATGCCTCTTTCACAAATTTTTCACCGGGAGACAAACCTTTGCCAACCTACGGCTCACCACCTGCCCATATTCCTAACCCAAAGAGCTCCAATAGAATTAACGTTGCCGGGCATTTCCTCGACATTCCACATCCTCATTGGCGATGTACTGCGTTTGGAATACCTTGCTTCAGCCCGTGTGTCTAGGAGCTGCCACTTTTTAAGGCGCATACTCGTTCTTTTAAAATTGTGCACATTTAGTTCCATTTGTACCAAGAGCAGTAAAGCTTGGAGAGCTACAGAGACGTGCTCAGAGATGAGTACAGTATTAAATACAATTTAATACAACAGTACTCTGGAGGGGCACCTCAGTAGCTCGACATTCCTACTCTCATATTTACTCTCGTGACCTTGTTGGGCTTTAAGTGGGGGTCATTCTCCTGAAGCCTCAAATGCACAATGTAGTCTGGCCAGTACCTAAATGGATGACCACCTGACCAGCCTTGCAGGAACCTCTAAGGTTAACAGGCTTCCTGTCTCCAACAAATATATGTCTTTCCCTATGAAAAAAAAGTTTTTTTTTTTGCTGTAATATAGAAGACCTTTATACCTGATAAAAAAATTTAAGTGGTCACCCTATTACAAAGGGAACGTACCTAAAGGGAACTATGAAGCATATGGAAACAGTAAAAGTAACAATTTACTCCTGAAGATTTAGAAGAAGTCAAACTACAGCCAACACATCCACCCACATCCTTCCCCTTCACACCTGTCACCACCAAGTACTCTTGAAGATACCGGACAACAATTTAGTACTCAAGGATTTAATCATTATTAAGAGTTTCTACAAATTAATTATCTGTGAACCTCTGCGAATTATTCAAATCCCTTAACTGGCGTCTTATTCAGCAGAATGGGAAAAATTGAAGACTGGATGAACTAGTGTTCATCTCTCCCCGCCCGCTACATGGACCATCACCTGTCACACCACAACCATTGTTACAATCAACCTTATAATGGTCTAGGAACGACCAAAACTACGTCGTCGTCTTATCTTCTGGCCCAATCACTTGGGCTGGACGGTAGAGCGACGGTCTCGCGTCGTGCAAGTCGGCTTTCAATCCCTCGACCGTCCAAGTGATTGGGCACCATTTCTTTCCCCCGTCCCATCCCAAATCCTTATCCTGATCCCTTCTCAGTGCTATATAGTTGTAATGGCTTGTCTCTTTCTCCCTGACAATTCGCCTCATCTTCTGATGTTTGGTGGTCATATCTTCAACCACGTTACTGTGACTCATCGTCTGCAATGTCATAACTTGTTGAACAAGTTACTTACCTCTTTTAGATGTGAACAGAATTCTTCTTCATTTGTGATATTTATTCCTAAGTAGTCTTGGTTTCTCTCAAGGAAGCCAAGCCACGCCCTGAGCCAAGACTCCGTGTAGAGGGGTCCACCGCTGAATGATAAGCCTTCAAACTGCTTGTGTAGGGCCATGAGCTCCTTCTGGGTGACGGGGTCGCTGTAGTCCACGTCGCCAGTTATGGCCACCTACGGACAACATTCCTAACATTACACAAGGATACGAGCCGCACCTCATCTTAATTACATATATTGCATTATAAAATTACCAGTGCTGTATAAGGTAATCAACAGATTATTGTCAAGACAATTTTCAAAGCTTTCTGCAAGTTATTTCTTAGTATGAAGGTGGTACAAGAGAGACTGTTGCCAGACGGTGATCTTGAAAGGTTTTACTCACCTGAATCCTATATGGGTAATCCCGGAAATATTTGTCTTCGCTATCGTAGAATTCAACGGAGTAGGAGTCGTCACGTGATAATCTGCGGCGTTCGAGTCCCTCCTTGACCATGGTGCAGCCCCAGCACGCCACCATAAGGTACACCACAAACACCATGATCACCAGAGCTAACAAACACAGAAGCAACCTTATGTTATAAACATTCCTTCTCCAACCTCGGCCTCAAATTGTCAAAATATAACTTTAGACACATTATCCCTAAAAAAAAAAACAATCTTATTTAGTCCAAACACTTAAATCACTGTACATGTACTCTACACCTCTAATGTCTTACTGACTACCTACCTTTCGAAGTGAATCAAAATTACTCTACAGCCAGGTCGAAATAGTTTAGATATAACATACTGCATACATAGTATACTTTTTTTTTTAAGAGTAATGGCCTAATGTACGACAAATAGTTTTTTTTTAAATATTAATGCCCAATTATACCAAGAAATTGGTGTAATTGGGCATCTCCCTAATTTGAAGTATGTGATCAAGAGGATATTCCTGTGCTCGTCATGCTTAAGCTCCTAGGTGTTACCTTGTGTGACTTACTACAAACCTCCACAAGTGGTATACGACGTATAAACTAAAGTGTAATACACACACATGCAGTATACTGTACAATTTAACCTATAAAGTTATTGGGAAGGCCCTAAATCCTGTAGACAACAATCCTATAATAAATACACAATGACCTTGAGAGAGGATTCGAACTTATGCCCTGGATGTCCCCAGACGCGCTCTAGTCCACTGTACTAGAGCTCGTCTGGGAACGCTCAACGCTCAGGTTCGAACCCTCATCAAGACCCTTGTGAATGTCTCCACCGATATACCAGGCTATGGTGATCCCTGTGTGAATGCTACCATTGTCGTGTACAGGTGCCAAAGGCAGCAGCAGCAGCAGGTGGTCACCTTTGATGGCGGGGATGTTGAGGAAGCGCGCGACGTAGTCTCTGAAGAAGACCATGAGGGCGTGGTTCTGGTTGTCCTCAGGGTTCCAGGGGTCGGTCGCGCTCACGCCGCCCGTGCAGAAGGTGCGGTAACAGCAGCCCTCGTCCACTACGGGGCAGAAGCAACAGTTAGCAACACTGCATTCTGTACAGTTCTTTTATACATTCGAAAGATAATCTGAAAGATAATATGTACTAATATTATACTTTAGTGCAAGTTTTTCTGTGTAAATGATACAAATCCAGTATCATGAACAGTGATTACCTGGATTTACCTGAGCGCCACTATCTTGAGTGAACTATACGGGCAGGAAGCCTGTGACTTGTCAAACGATCTCTGTTCTCGGGTTTTTGTCCAAAGTGTATTTTGAGCTAAAGTGATGTGTTTGTACTTGTGACTTCTGCGGGTAGGCAGTTCCATAGGTTTATTAATAAGAGTGAAAAAATAGGAGTTTTCCAACGTACATTGTGGCTTGTTGAGCTTAAAGCCATTACTCCTTGTGTGTGTTACTTGTGACATTTTATAGAAGTGATCTGGATTAATATCCTCCGACTTGTTCAGTATATCAAGTTTCTTTGAGGTCAGTCCCATCATGTCTGGTTCCTGGTGTGGTTAGCCCTTGCGGCCTTCAACTGTTACTGGTATGAATGCTCACTTGGTTCTGGAATCATTTTTGTCTCCCGGTGTTGAACTTTCTCCAAAACAGACGCGTTCATTTGAAGAGGCGATCTCCAGGCTTGGACACGAGTCCAAATGTGGGTGCGCCTGCTACCTTTTCCATTACGTTGAAGGTTCAATTTGACTATTACTACTAGAGCGTGGTTGGCATGTGTATTTGAACTGCAGCTCCCACTTGTCCGGCAACTCTCAATGACTTGGGGATCAAAACGTCTAAGTCCTTTCCTTCGTCCACTTGCTGTATGGCAGCAGTGTTGAATTTCTAGATCACCCTCCAGGAGACTCTCAAGGAAAGAGCAACTGAAAAAAACAATCAGGAGGGAGCCAATATATAATCCTGGCCTGGGAACAAAAATTTCAAGCTCATTATTGAACTCTTTCAATAATGTCCGCTATAACAGAGAAAGAAAAGAAAGGGAACTAGATGGATGACACGGGTAGTAAGAAGAGCATTGACAACTAAGCAGACCCTCTGGGAAAGGTGTAAATCTATGATGGACATCATTGATGATATATATATAAAGGACTCAACTCTGCCACCCAGGAAATCAGAACAGCCAGACGAAACTACGCAAGAAAACTTCCAAAAACTAAAATCCAAAGTCGTTCTATGCCTATACAAGAAGTAAAACCAAAACAAATGGCTCTATAGGACCCTTAAATGATGAGACTAACCAAGTTATAATGGACGATAAAGGGGCAGTAAACACACTCAAGGAATATTTCACATTAGTCTTCACACTAGAAAAAAAGTTAACTAATTAAGGGATATTATACCCACAACTTGCGACATAATCAAGACGACCATAGGCAGACTCAAAAGGCCCAGCTATGGATGGAATTCAATCCAAAGTCAAAGGAACTGGCAGAGGAACTGTCTACAGCTGAAACTGCTTTTCAGAAACTCTCTCGACTTGGAGATAGTTCCCATTGATTGGAAATATGCAAGTATTAAACCCATTTTCAAACAAGGTAGAAACAACTCGGCAGAAGACTACGGTGCGATCAGCTTGACATCACACATCTGCAAGCTCATGGTGAGAGTCCCAAGGGAAGGAATCGTCCAAAATCTCAATCTTGTAAAATCAACGCAACATTGGTTTGTTAAAATAAATCCCGCCTTACAAACCTGCTCACATTTTTTGGAAACGGTAACCAGCTACTTAGAGAAAGAACTTCCGGTAGATATAGTAAATATGGATTTTGCTAAAACATTTGGCAAGGTACCACATAAAAAGGCTGGCAAAGAAATTACAAACACGGAAAAAATTGTAAAAAACTGCAATGGCTAAAACAGTGGTTAAAACAACGAAAGCAAAAGGTTGTTCTAAATGGAATACGAGTGGATAATGTGACGAGTGGAGCACCTCAAGGCTACATCTTGGGGGCCACAACCCTTAGTTTGTCATCTACATCAAAAACAGCTAAGAATATCGCAAACCACATCATCAAACTTGCAGAGGACACCAAGATCTATGGTAAAGTAGGAAAACCAAATACCGAGGCCTTACCAAGAGATCTACATTAACTCCACGAATGGTCAGAAGACTGGCAAATACTTTTCAATATTGAAAAATGCAAGACCTTGCATGTAGGGCATAACTACACACATTGCAACTATCATAACACCACCACCACAGCACCACACAGCACACCACCACACAGCACACCACCACACAGCACACCACCACACAGCACACCACCACACAGCACACCACCACACAGCACACCACCACACAGCACAGCACACTCATTACAAAATTTAGGAGTGTTGATCTACCCGTCCGAACATTGCACAAGTGGAAGCTGCAGGATAAATGGCGAATCAAACATTTAGACAAACAAATCATTGACTTCAGATCATAGGAAATGGTTATTCAACTGTCAAGTCTGTGGTGTCCCCCCCCCCCTCCCCCACCTGGACTACTGCATACAAGCAAGAACACCTCGCTTTCAAAAGAACATTATTTTCTGTGAAGAACATACAACAGCGACAGAAATCCAAGTACTAAACAACCTCTAATTCCAGACACGGCCGAAGGCCCACACTACCACCACAGCAAACCAGACATGACAAGGCTGATCTCCTCAACACCTTTAACATACTGAACAAGTTGAAGGATATAATTCCAAACAACTTCTATAAGTGCTCAGATGTAACCCAAACAAGGAGCAACAGCTACAAGCTCCACAAGCCACAATGTTGGACAGAAAACAAGACACGCTTTTTCACCCACAGGTTGTGAACCCACGGAACCGCCTACCCGCCGGAGCCGTAAATACCAAGACATTACAAGTACTTCAGTTCAAAATCCACTTTGAGGAAATCCTCAGGACTTGAAGATGGAGACCATTGACAAGCTGCCGGCTGCCTGTCCCTGTCAAGGTCGGTAGAAATAATAGCCTCTAGTAAATTCATATTACTACACACTCTTCCTTTTTGTATTATGTAAATTAAGCGTTTTTAATCCTCCTTCATAGTGGGTTACTTGTTCCTTTGTCACCCTACTGTGTATACATTGTTATGGTGCCCTCTCCTATTTCTTTCGTTTGCCGGCTTAAAGAGTCATATCAGCTCTCCCTATTGATTCTCTGAGGTTCAGGGAGTCTAATGATATATGTGGCGACCAGACCAGCTGCCAGTTAAGGGAGAACGTTACATTATAAGTTGTAAATAAGGGGAAATTGGCGCCCTGATATAAAATGAAAGAGTATCCCCTCATGCAGATATGACCTTTTGGAAGGGACACTAGCCGATCGCGGATTGGCCGACTTAGGTCGAGGGCGACCAATCAGGGCCCGCCGTGACGTCACCGAGTGCCCCGGGCGGCGCCAACGTCAGAGTTGACTTGACCTTGGAAGCGAGCGGACGCACCTTGGTCAGCTCTCAAGGATTAGAGGCTCTACAAGCCATTCTTAGTGGATTAGTGCAGGCTATCGCAGCTCATCTGACGTATTGGAGACCCCGCGCTTCTGGGAAGCAAAAAGGAACCAAGTTTATTGAGCGAAAGAGTGCCAAACTTGGAAAATATTCGGCGACGACGCTAGGCGTTGAGGGCCTGGAAAGGTGTGGCGGGCAAGCCTAGCTGTGACCGGGTCACATCCACTGAGGATTTTGGAAGGACGACACCGTGCCTAGGACAAGGAGCAACGCCTTGTGGAAGGGGCGAGTGTGGGAAAATAGTGATTAGCTCAGCGCCCATCGATGAACCAGGATTGGGGTAGCTGAATCTCAGGGATTGGAACGGCGACGACGCGAAGGCTCCACGACACCTGAGGACCTGTGGAACGTTCCTGGATCATCGAGGATCGACTCGGGAAGCGTGGGAACCTCACACCATCGAGGGACAGGCGTCGTGAGCCAGGAATGTAAGGTAGATCATTTTCCCTCCCATTACCCCTTGTGTGAGTAGGCTAGTTAGGCCACAATATTTATGTATGTGGCAATAGGACATTAATACTTTAGTAGTAGAATAGGCTGCAAGGCAGCTTGTGTCCAGGACTGTCAGAGGGGACAATGTGTATGGATGGCAGGACAGTGAAGGAGAGGCGCCGACGTGGTGAAGAGGCCCTCCTGTGAGAGAGTGGGGGACTCCTGTCTTTCTGCCCAGTTGAAGGAGTGTTGGAGGTCGTGGAAGAAGAGGCTGACGATCTCCAGACTTATTATCCTTATTTCCATATTCATGTATTACTTGTGATTGTATGTGTGTTAAATGTAATTGCCGTCAGTAAATTCACACATTTTATCATTGTGTTTAAGTGTGCCTCCATTATGATATTTCTCTATGAGCATACACGAAGGTTATCATAGTACCACCTAGGGAACACAACGTTCTCTATAGAAGTTCTTATTGCCTGGAGTGTGGTAAAGACAGCACAGACTTACATAAAAGTGTACCCTTAGCCCTCCGATCAGTATCGGTGCCTGAATGGTGGCAACTATTAACGTGGTGGCTATAGAGAGGTAAAGCCACACAGACTTCCTGGGAGAGTACCCTGGGCCAATAGTCTAGTAGCAGATCTATGGGAGTAGCAATCTTCTGGCTACAAACAATATATAATACACCCACTGAACTGCATTGCTGGGGTGCAGATATAATAACCCAGCTGGCGACCTTGTTAAGAAGATAGAGAAGACAGGCGGGAAAGGAGTTCCTGCAACCTTTTTGTCTGGCAGGCAAGACTCAGGGAGGTTATTGTTATAAGGTAAGCCTGAGTCTTCCTTCACTCCTCCACGGGTCTAGGCCGGAACTGTTAACAGCAGTTTCCCCGTGTTTGACTGAAGGGCTTCCAGGGTGAATCAGTGGCACCTCATGTGTGTGGTCTGGTCAACATACTTCAGCCACGTTATTGTGACTCATCGCCTGCAGTGGCACCTCCTTTTGTGGTGGAAGCAAAGACCTGCGGAGGTGGGCATTGTTGGTCCTCTCCTGTGTGACCAAGGAGACTCCAGTGAATCCCGGGAGTCGGAGGGGCTGAGTACTCGGCCTTTTGAGCCCCTAGCAGCCGAGTGCTAGCAGAGCCCCGGCCCACCCCCCACGTGACAACATGTGCACATCACCCTCCTGTGTACGTGTGCACATCACCCTCCTGTGTACGTGTACACATCACCCTCCTGTGTACGTGTACACATCACCCTCCTGTGTACGTGTACACATCACCCTCCTGTGCACGTGTACACATCACCCTCCTGTGCACGTGTACACATCACCCTCCTGTGCACGTGTACACATCACCCTCCTGTGCACGTGTACACATCACCCTCCTGTGCACGTGTACACATCACCCTCCTGTGCACGTGTACACATCACCCTCCTGTGCACGTGTACACATCACCCTCCTGTGCACGTGTACACATCACCCTCCTGTGCACGTGTACACATCACCCTCCTGTGCACGTGTACACATCACCCTCCTGTGCACGTGTACACATCACCCTCCTGTGCACGTGTACACATCACCCTCCTGTGCACGTGTACACATCACCCTCCTGTGCACGTGTACACATCACCCTCCTGTGCACGTGTACACATCACCCTCCTGTGCACGTGTACACATCACCCTCCTGTGCACGTGTACACATCACCCTCCTGTGCACGTGTACACATCACCCTCCTGTGCACGTGTACACATCACCCTCCTGTGCACGTGTACACATCACCCTCCTGTGCACGTGTACACATCACCCTCCTGTGCACGTGTACACATCACCCTCCTGTGTACGTGTACACATCACCCTCCTGTGCACGTGTACACCACGTGTCCATCTGTCACCAAGACCAAGAGTTAACTGCATGATCTAAACACTAACAAGGGCGAGATAAACCTCAAGACCGATACAAGTCTTATTACAAATGACTCTAGAAACACACCCCAATATTGTACTTAATTTATTACCTACATTTATGCATTTGTATTTTCCAATAAAATCTCTATTCATCGTTACTTTCAGATTTCCCCTCATTGTCCAGCTCATATATGGCAACTATATTTACCATATAGGAACCATATAGTATATTTACCATATAGGAACCACAGTTCAGGTTCCCTACAGTTTTCAGCGTTAAACTGCATTTGAAAATCTTTCGTGCATTTTAAAAAGGTCATTCACATGGTCTTGTAGGAATTTCCTTTCTTCTAGTTAGGCTGCGATTGTATTATACAGCTTAGTTTTGAACACCTTCCTATAGAATGGACATATTTTGGAAAATGTAAGGAGAAGGTGAACAAATGTAATCTACTGCAAGGAGCAGGTGAACCAATGTAATCTCCTGCAAGGAGTAAGTGGACACATTTAATCCCCTGCAAGGAAAAGGGGGACATTTAATCCCCTGTAGGGAATAGGTGTACAAATGTAATCCCCTGTAGGCCTGTAGGGAGTAGGTGGACAATGTAATCCCCTGTAGGCCTGTAGGGAGTAGGTGGACAATGTAATCCCCTGTAGGCCTGTAGGGAGTAGGTGGACAATGTAATCCCCTGTAGGGAGTAGGTGGACAATGTAATCCCCTGTAGGCCTGTAGGGAGTAGGTGGACAATGTAATCCCCTGTAGGCCTGTAGGTGGATAATGTAATCCCCTGTAGGCCTGTAGGTGGACAATGTAATCCCCTGTAGGCCTGTAGGGAGTAGGTGGACAATGTAATCCCCTGTAGGCCTGTAGGGAGTAGGTGGACAATGTAATCCCCTGTAGGCCTGTAGGTGGACAATGTAATCCACTGTAGGCCTGTAGGGAGTAGGTGGACAATGTAATCCCCTGTAGGCCTGTAGGGAGTAGGTGGACAATGTAATCCCCTGTAGGCCTGTAGGGAGTAGGTGGACAATGTAATCCCCTGTAGGCCTGTAGGGAGTAGGTGGACAATGTAATCCCCTGTAGGCCTGTAGGGAGTAGGTGGACAATGTAATCCCCTGTAGGCCTGTAGGGAGTAGGTGGACAATGTAATCCCCTGTAGGCCTGTAGGGAGTAGGTGGACAATGTAATCCCCTGTAGGCCTGTAGGGAGTAGGTGGACAATGTAATCCCCTGTAGGCCTGTAGGGAGTAGGTGGACAATGTAATCCCCTGTAGGCTTGTAGGGAGTAGGTGGACAATGTAATCCCCTGTAGGCCTGTAGGGAGTAGGTGGACAATGTAATCCCCTGTAGGCCTGTAGGGAGTAGGTGGACAATGTAATCCCCTGTAGGCTTGTAGGGAGTAGGTGGACAATGTAATCCCCTGTAGGCCTGTAGGGAGTAGGTGGACAATGTAATCCCCTGTAGGCTTGTAGGGAGTAGGTGGACAATGTAATCCTGGGGGATTAGAAGCTTACACACATTAAGATTCATTTACATTTCTATAATGGTGAAGAACAATTGCCATGGCTCAAATATGCAAAGGGATGAAAAGGTATAATAAAGAAGATCCAAGTACTAAATATACAAGGAACAATACCTAACAATGAATACAAATTAGACAAGATGCATAAAAGACCTGGGTAAATAATGGTTTGGTAAATAGGCTTGCTTATTCAACATTTACTATGTAACATAAGTGTCAAAACTCGAGGGGGGAGGAATAAAGTCTTAAGATGCTACTGAAAGTCTTAAGATGCTACTGAAAGTCTTAAGATGCTACTGAAAGTCTTAAGATGCTACTGAAAGGTTCACTGACTTGTTTCAGACTTGGGCTTGATCTTGCGGCAAGTGAGTCCGTGGCGTTGTTCCTTCTCCATGTAGCCGGACAAGGCCAAGCAGCCTCCGAAGAAGGTAATGTGCCAGGCATAGGTCACTAAGACGGCAGTCCCTGTAAATATAGGTAATGTCAGTCGCCACTCACTCACAGTTGGTTAGAACACTACAGTACAATTTGTGTTTCTACAAGAGGGGCGTTCACAAGTACATGTCTTAATACAAGGAATTTTTTCTTCAAGTCTCGTGCATCAACCCGTCTTAAAAATAACGTCACTTTTGGCTCTTATGCGCGCTATGGCCAAATTTGGACGTAATTTGAAATGAAATCGACTCACAAAAGTGACGTACTGTTCCGTTTTCTGTTTGAGTCGTCCGGCTTACTCGGTAAGGTTAGAAGAGGCAACTTTCCATTAACGTTTTGAAACTTTATGAGAATTTCCTGCCCACCTAACCTATCAGAGGACCCTTAACTAACCGTTATTGAAAAAAAAAATCCCAAATTTATTTTCATTTTTTTTTCAGTTTCAAATTACGTCCATATTCGGCCATACGGGCAAACGGCCAAAAGCGACGTTCTTTTTAAGAGGACAGGTTGCGTGCACACAATATTACACATTAATAATGTGATGGTTGAAGTGTAACAACTGCCAAGTGGTTAAGGAACTGTGGCAGCTTTTACAGACACTTCCTTCACTATTATATAATGGGAAAAAATCGCGGAATTCAGAGTTAACGCCATCAATGGAGTCCAAGAAATGTGTAAGTACTTCATTCATAATGATGTACTGTCAGGAATCTTAGCCAAGTATCCAATATTTGCTTACTGTAGATGCGGCCAGTACAACAGCTGCTGCCCAGTTGGGTGGGTGTGGAGCAAGACTAGTAACTTTGTGATTCATAAATGTAAATTGCCTTGTATAGTGACTTGAGCCTCTTGTTGAGTCACTTGTGATATACAAAGATTATATATATATTATATATATATTATATATATATATATATATATATATATATATATATATATATATATATATATATATATATATATATATATATATATATATATATATATTTGTGTACATGAATGTGCATGTAACATTAACAATTGTATAACTAGCTTCACAAAACTGTCACATGCTGAGCTAAACGAACTCTGGGGTTCAGTTCCTGAACCCATCATGTGCCTCTAACCCTTTCCACCACCGCCCACGGCATGGGTATGGGTTGCACAATAAAGAAATTAAAAATGGAGAAAAATGTCCCTCAAGGCTCGCCACATCCCTCAAGGGGCGGCTTAAGGGGCCTTAACTAGGACACCATTATCATCTTACATAGCAAAAAGCTGCTTTTTATCTACTGGTCAAACTTCATTCTTAAAGAATGACCTTTTTTTATAGCTTAGATGCAGTGCAGCTGTCTTACTCCATATTATAAATCAGAAATGTTGACCAGACCACAAACTAGAAAATGAAGGGACTACGACGTTTCGGTCCGTCCTGGTACAATCACAAACTACTTGAGAATGGTCCAGGACGGACCGAAACGTCGTCGTCCCTTCACCTTCTAATGTGTAATCTGGTCAACATTCTTCAGCCACGTTATTGTGACTCGTCGCCTACAAATCAGAAATGTTTACACATTTAATTCAAAATAACCCAAGTTGTAAGACGGTATCCTAGACTGTCCTCTTGTAGGCATGACGCCCCTGCCAGCTGTGCTCTACCTCCGTCTTCAGTGTAAAGACACTCCACTAAGATCCGTGTAAATGCAGGCAATGAGTCACAATAACGTGGCTGAAGTATGTTGACCAGACCACACACTAGAAATTGAAGGGACGACGACGTTTCGGTCCGTCCTGGACCATTCTCAAGTCGAAACGTCGTCGTCCCTTCAATTTCTAGTGTGTGGTCTGGTCAACATCCGTGTAAATGTTACCAACAATTAACATCGTCAGTGGAGTGAGGTAAAGTGACAGACGCCTACACCTCGACGCTGCCACCACTGTTGTGCTCTCTTAACAGTTTACCACTATTATAAGTACTGTTCTAACCAGCACCGAGATGGGCCTCCAGGACTCTGATTTATGCACCCTTACTAAGTAGGGGCTCGACAGCCGAGTGGACAGCGCTTCGGATTAGTAGTCCTGAGGTTCCGGGTTCGATGGATATAAATTCACTTGAACGTGTCCAACGTAGGATGACTAAGTTAATTCCCCAAATTAGAAATCTTTCATATGAAGAAAGATTAACAAAGCTTAAGTTGCATTCACTGGAAAGGCGAAGAGTTAGGGGTGACATGATAGAGGTTCACAAGTGGATGAATGGACATAACAGGGGGGATATTAATAGGGTATTAGAAATATCAACACAAGACAGAACAATGTCACACGAAACAATGGGTATAAATTGGATAAGTTTAGATTTAGGAAAGACTTGGGTAAATACTGGTTCAGTAACAGGGTTGTTGATTTGTGGAACCAATTGCCGCGTAACGTGGAGGAGGTAGGGTCCCTCGATTGTTTCAAGCGCGGGTTGGACAAGTATATGAGTGGGATTGGGTGGTTATAGATAGGAGCTGCCTCGTATGGGCCAATAGGCCTTCTGCAGTTACCTTTGTTCTTATGTTCTGATGCCCGGTAGAGGTGGAAACAAATGACAGAGTTTCTTTCACTCTGATGCCCCATTTACCTAGCAGTAAATAGGTACCTGGGAGTTAGACAGCTGCTACGGGCTGCTTCCTGGGGGTGTGTAACATACAGGAGGCAAGGTCGAGGACCGGGCCGCGGGGACGCTAAGCCCCGAAATAATCAAGATAACCTGAAGATAGCATCATAGACTCGTACAGGAGACTTGGGAATATGTGCAAGCCTCCACACCTGTCTACACACCTGCCTCCTGACGTGGCTGTTTGCGACTGTTTGACCACAATGCTGGAACCAAACCAACACATGATCAGTTTAATCATCATAGAGGCACATAATGAGCTCAATGGAGTGACAGGAACGTGACACATTCACCGGTATATACCGCGGCCATACAATGGGATTGAACCTGTGTTCCAGGGGACATAGTAATAAAGTTAGTGTATAAAGGAAGGTACCGGTGTAGAGGCAGAAGATCTGGACGCAGGGGAAGGGAGTGATGGCGCCGATGAAGAAGGAGATCATGTCGGTGAGGGAGGTGATGGTGATGCTAACCGCGGCCTCGGCGAAGGTCTGGCCCATCCTCTCCGCCACGCTGTCCTGGAGCCGCGTCCGTCGCCACGCCGCCAACATCACGAAGGTGTCGTCTATACCAATACCTGCAACAACAACAACAACAGTTGGGCATTAGTCCAGCAGTCCGGTCACAGTGGGTGACTTGTGAGCAAACTCTCACAAGTCAAGTCTGGCCTCGGGCCGGGCTTGGGGAGTAGAACAACTCCCAGAACCCCATCAACCAGGTAACAGTTTAACCCTTGCACTGCGCACCTGTTTTTTTTTGGCAAAAACTTCACAGTGCAGTTGTTAAGGACATATTTTTGTTGTTTGAATAAATGTTCAGGTAAAGTAAATGTCAAAATGTTTCCAAACTCAACCATTCATTTCAAAACTCAGTGATGAAAACAAAAAAAAAAAAAAAATTAAAATCTAGCCTAATTAAAAAAAAAAACACTTAATAGCTGCCGCCCAGTTGGGTGGGTGTGGAGCAAGACTAGTAACTGTGACTCACCATAGATGTAAAGTGCCTTGTATAGTGACTGTTGTGACCCTCTTGTTGATCACTTGTGACACAAAAGATTATTGATATGTGTATTTGTGTGGGTGATTAAATATGTATATGTACACGTATATATATGTACATGTACGTACGAGTATGTGTACATGTATATATAACATCAATAATTTTGTAACTAGCGTCAAAAGATTGTTATTTGCTTAGCTAAACGAACTAGAGGGTTCAGTTCCTGCACCGATTATGTGCCTCTGTAACCCTTTACACCACCGCCCACGGGATGGGTATGGGGTGCATAATAAAGAAATTGAATTTAATTAATGACTCGTCACCGTGATTCATACATGTATTAGGCCGACTCTCTCTCTCTCCTCCTTCCTATATACTATATACATGGGCCGGTTTATACTTTCACCGGCCCATGTACATTAAATTTGTACTTACTTATCAATTTCTTGATCAATTACATCCTGGCGAACTGTTCATTCAGTCTCAACATTACAAGAGCAACACTGCTACTTGGTGCAGTCTACTCCAGCACACCTGACTGCTCTCACACCTGACTCATTGTTGACGTTTTCAGCACTTCTCCAGACACCATTTCCCCCCCCCCCTATTTCCCCTTAACACCTGGGGGGGGGGGGGGAGAATACCTCAAGCCATTCAATGGTCATTCCACAGAAATACAATAGATATAAAAACCAATTTAAGACAAGAGGATTCCGCGCAGGCTTGGCCACCCCCTCCCCCCGCCCCCTAGGGGGTTGACCTGCTGGAACAATGCCTTGACACCTCGCGTCTATCCCCGGGGTGCAGGGCCAGGCTTGGCATCCCCTGGGGTGCACGGCCCAGAGGCTTGGCATCCCCCCCGGGTGCACGGCCCAGGCACGCCAGAGCACTGCTCCCATCCTGGGGGCGCGGAACACCCATCAATAACTACACAACACAAGTGTCACGTTATCAGGAGCAACTACACCTGGAGGACCGTCACCTCCGCCGGAACTAGCGGGGGAGGCGGTGCCCTCAAGTGTCGGGGGTCACCGACCTGTCGTCGCCGCCCTCCTGCTGGTCCCAGTGTATGCCGTTGTCCTTGGTAGGGTGATGGCTGCCTCCTGGCTCTTCCAGTACTCATTCCATGGATTAAATATGCAAGTTACAATGGCCAAGTTACAAGCACACTTTTGTATAACAGTTGGTGACAGATCTGTTCAACTTAATTCCAAACGGCACTTGCCCCTTTCTCCATCTACCTTTCCAGTTGTGTCACGTAACTGGAAAGAGGCGAAACTGTTCCATTCCGGTGTTCTCTGCCGCCCAGTCAAAGACTTCTCGGGTGCCAGACTTGTCCGACTTGTCCGCTGTCATGAAGACGACCCTAAACCAGTCACCAGATATCCGAGTGTGTGATTCTTGGTTCACCTTCCTTAGAAGCCAAGATGTCCGACTTCTTGAACGATCCTCCTCTTGGGATCAGGACCTCGCACTGTACTTGATATCTAGCCGGTCCTCCACGTATCCGGTGACGTTATTCTTCATGGCGGTACACTCTGGCCCCGTGGGTCTTTGGACATGCCTGGAATATATGCCCAAACGTTCCTCGCCTTCTACATAGGTCGCAGAGAGGCCTATCCCCTTTTTCTCTGGCGCCCCATGATGGAGTGGCTAGTGTTGGCCGGAGTCGCTTGGGCACACTGTCCCCCGCTCAGCAGACGTGATGATTGATGACGATTAAGCCACCCAAAAGGTGGCTTACGTTAACATGGAATCCTCTGCAAGTCTGTGGTCACCACTAGGTCGTCTGCACAAGTCGGCACCGATATTTTTTCCATCCCCTATTATCACTCCAAACCCTCACTCTTCCTGCATGACAATGACCTTGTAGATTGCCACGTTAAATACAAACCGAGTCGGGGAACCCCCCCCCCCCTTGTGTCATGCTTAAAGTGATTCTGATTTCGTTGGATTCCCGTCCCTGGCTGTCATTGTGACGACATGGTAGCCAGACCATGTCGGACCTTGACCATTAGTTCTGGAGGACTGTGTCCCCCTCCGTCTCGTGGCTCTAATGCAATCATGAAGGACTATCAGAGGCCTTGCAAGGTTATGTTCAGGAAGGTCAAGTGCGCTGGAAGGTCGAGTGCGCTGGAGGGTTGAGTGCACTGGAGGGTTGAGTGCACTGGCTTGGGTCATAACGCCACCCAGTATTGCTAAGTTCTCAGCACACCGGTCCATAGGACGAATGCATTTTGTCCAGCCCATCCTTCGAATATGGGGAGGTAAATGTAATGGCACAAGTGTAATTATGCACTATTCCTAGCAGTCACGAATTGTACTTATTACACTTGGTATTAAACCGTACTGTCAATTCAGAGGATGGGTTGATTTTGTTGGCCAGCAACTCTGAGGGTCCTAGTGAGACGACCTGCAGTGATCGTAGTCTCTCACTACTGTTGAGGTCATTGTAATCGCTCAGTAGTCTCCTGGTGTCCATGGATTTGGGGTTTTCAGAATTAGTACCGTACAGTTGAAACTAAATTTGTTTTGACAATTAATTAGCAACCACAATCACACAGAAATCACAATAGGGTGATGCATCAAATGAACAATGCGATGCGATGAGTTGATGCTATGCATCAAATGATTAAGGCGCGTCTGGGATACTCTCGGACGTAGATTCGAACCCTTATCACATCCCTTGAGGATTTGATCAACTGCAAGTAAAACATCTTTCGCAGACACCCGGGGTATGGCTCTTCGGGAGATGGCATTACCATGGGGTCCAGGAACCGAAGTCTTGCCAGCTTTAATGACTGCATTCCTGATCTTTTCCGTTATAAGATATTCACGTGTCTCCATGAGGGTCACCCAACACCTTGCCTGGGGTCAGATGTCGCCGGGCTCCACAACATTTCTTCCCATTATCGGAACAACTGCCCCCCCCCTACACTTGGGGTGGATGGCATAGCGACGGTCTCGCTTCATGCAGGTCAGCGTTCAATCCCCGACCGTCCAAGTGGTTGGGCACCATTCCTTCCCCCGTCCCATCCCAGATCCTTATCCTGACCCCTTCCCAGTGCTATGTTGTTGTAATGGCTTGGTGCTTCCCCCTAATACTTCCCTCCCTTTTGTTGCCACTTCCGTTGTGTCACAATAGTTTCCGGACCCGACAGTCGCCACCTGCCCCCAAATTCTTGTCAGAGGTTGTGGCACCAATACTGCTCTCCAGTGCTGGTGCCTGGTGTTGAGGACCTTGGGCTGAGAGGTTGGAGGTGGTGTGTGAGGCGTGTACGTGGCTCCGGGGAGGATGTCTTCTGTCATCCTGGTCGTCATGCCTCCCGACACCTGTCATTGTCTCGGCGTGACACTGCTGAATTCTATTCGCTGCTCGGTGGCTATCGTCTACAATTTCCCTGATGGCACCAAGAAGCGGCTCTCGCCATCCCTCGTCTCCACTCTAGATAACGTTTCAGGACTAGTTCCAAGCTCATATTTTTGCCGCCTTCCTTCGCCATCAATACCTGCTGTTAGTAGGCGTCCTGGTTGATACCTGCTTGATGGGGTTCTAGGAGGAGTTCTACTCCCCAAGCCCGGCCCGAGGCCAGGCTTGACTTGTGAGAGTTTGGTCCACTAGGCTGTTGCTTGGAGCGGCCCGCAGGCCCACATGCCCACCACAGCCCGGCTGATCCGGAACTTCTCTTAGAAAACAGTCCAGTTTTCTCTTGAAGATGTCCACGGTTGTTCCGCAATATTTCTTATAGTCGCTAGTCGTCCACGAGTCTCTGGAGACTATGGAGTTACGCTCTGGGTGTTGGTCTGGAGTGGCCTCTCCAGGGCGCAAAGCCAGAGTAGGTTGATACGGGGGAGAAGCCGTCACCCATGCAGCAGGTCCCCCCCCCCCTCTCCACGGCGCCGAAAGTCTCCAATGGAAAGGCAAACGCCATTACGATTGGTTCCAGCACCATCGCAGTAACTGTCAGAACGAGGTTGAGGGCAACACCGAACTGCCCCAAAGGGCTCCACCCACTGCATGCTTACTACGAGTACGAGGTCCACCGCGGGTCAGCGGGGTTTAGTAGAGAACAAAGTACTCTCCTCCCCCAGACTCTTGTGTGGTGCCACCTAACAGCAGGCGACCTGGGACGAGACAGGCCCTCAGAGACCCTCCATACACACACTCTTCACGCTACACCGGACAATGTACCTGAACATTCTCCAAGGAGTGCCGGACCAACCGGGCTGTGGTGGGTATGTGGGCCTGCGGGACGCTCCAAGCAACAGCCTGGTGGACCAAACTCTCACAAGTCAAGCCTGGCCTCGGGCCGGGCTTGGGGGATTAGAACAATTCCCAGAACCCCATCAAGCAGGTAACACTACACACACACCTGTATAGTGCTCAAGTGCTGTGCCTGACGGCTCCTGTGCCACGCCAGCCGTCCCTCGAGGCATCACAACTCCCACTGGCGGTACATCTGTCATGTTCCAACGTCGGCATCTTACCTTGTTGAATCACTTGTCATACAAAAGATTATTGATGTGTGTATTTGTGTGGGGTGATTGAATACGTATGTATATATGTATATACTGTAT